AATTTGATTGTGCTCCAAATTATGAGTGCTTTATTTTCTAGTGCAAACAATTTATTATTATATTGTATATGAATTTACACATTATATACATAGTATACTTATAGTAGTTAATTATTGTTTGATTTATATTTGTTCTTAATGACGTGTGATTTTTATCATTTTTATTCCATTTTATTTATATATGTATATAAAATGGAATGAAAAAATATGAAATATAACATTAAAAAAATACATTTATTTTTAATTATTTTTCAATTGTTCTTTTAAAATTATGTTAAATGTGAGGTGTAATATTTTGACCTAATTTTATATTTGTGAATGAATATTCTAAATTAAATAAATAATGCATAATAGAAAATCTTGGAAAAAATATGATTGCAATAATAAAGAATATTCAAGTTTATATTTTGTTTTATGTTACTGTTTGCATTAATGTATAAATTATATATTAAAAAACCAACTCATATAATTATTAATATTTTTATAATTATATATATTACAAACTTTGCTGATATTTTGCTAGTAAAATTTTCAGTATTTATCATTCTTAATTATATTAAGCTTCCTCCTTGCTGCATTACATTTTGTTCTTTGTGTATAAGGTAGATTAAATATCAAAGGTCGTTTGGATATTTAAAAATGTTGTAACAAGGTCATACTGATAGTTTCATGAACATTAAATTATTTACTTTAAGTTTTTGAAGGGTGATTAAGGATTTTATATAGTATTGTGACATTTACATAGTATTTTAGTTTTAGTGCATAATGAATGTATTCGTTATACATTTTAGTTTTGGAAAATACAATTTCAGTTTTGCTATTGTTTAATATAGAATAAATATTTAACAAATATTTTTATATTTCTAGTTAACCATAGAATAACATGCAAAATAATGTATATTTTAATAGCGTCACTTTGAACACATATGGTTATCATAAATAGTTCATTCACTTCAGTGTATTAGATTTGGGAAAAGTAGTTTACCATAGAGTCACATTTAGTGATATAAAATTATCAAATAAAGATTACAATTGCACCAGTGCAATTGTGTCATTATATAATAACAAATTAGTTCAAAGAGGTCACAAATACATCATTGTTATCATTTTTCTGCTACCAAGCTATTCCAAAGTATTCATTTTATTGCACTTGCCTGTAAGCAGTTATTTTTCATAGATATTAGCGCTTACTTAAAGCTTCTGCATAGAACAGGCAATTAAAGTTTTAAAAGAGATCTTAACTCTCAGAACAGCTTGATAAAATACTCCTTGTACGATTGTTACACGATCATATGTCGTTCGGCATTTCTGATGACTTCTAAAAATTTGTTCCTTTCAAGCCTCGATAATTTCGTCGGAAATGGGTGAAAAATGTATCGAGCATTGAGCGTATCCATTTAAAAGGCGCTTCCGAATTCAATGCAGTGCACTTTCTAGGTAAATATCGTATGTTGGCTAACAAAGTGAAAGTTTAAGATGCGATCGGCAACTTTCGTTATTTTTACGCAAATCGTTTCGTCACGTACTTACATCTTTTATTTCTTTTTTTTCTTGGTAATATTTTCATGAACGAAAATTAGAGCAACACACTGCGTAGTAAAATATTACAAACGATACATTCGAAGGTGAAAAATAATTCAGTCTCCTTAGACGGTAAATTCTGAAAAAGTAATTTTTCTTGGTACAAATAGAATCAACCGTTACATATGGTACAAATTGATTATTCGAAACGAGAATCATATACTTACTTCATTTGGCACTGTTGCTCTAAAATACCGACCTTGAAATGCGTTGACTTCTAACGCTGTAACGGATCGTGACCACCATGTTTGAAAAAGCATGTCGAGATCGATGCCTATATCGATAAGTCTTCGATTGGCGGTGTCTCTTTCTCGAGTTACTACCCTTTCCGTTATTATACCATCGTCAATCGAGATGTACGATCGTATATTTGTTTAATGTTTAGAATGACGTCTGCGTGGACTTAGATAAGAACGTGATCGGAAAGAATTTTTTTTTAACACGATGTTTGTCCATAGTAGCCATTGCGAACTTTTACGTAAATACAATAACGTTGTATAAAAAGCATTGGTAAATAAATCTTCTGTTTCTTACCTTTAATGTATTTATATACAATGGACGTCGACGTTTAACGTGTTTCGCGCCAAAAGTGAGTCAAAACTTTCATTCGCTAGATAAAGGTAATTTTTCATTCGAATATTCAAACAAATATAACAGTAAACATTAAAAAATCTATTTTTCGACGAATTCGTTTCAAAATTAATTACGATCGTTAAAAATTTATCGAAAAATATTAAATTCCCTATGACACGAAACACGTTAATATTTTGACAAAATCACGCGAATTTATTGCTAAAAAAAAGAAAAAAAAAAATATAGTAATAAGGAGAAAAAAAGATAATTGTACCAAGAAATTTTCAATGGAAAACTTCGAAGTATAAGCGTCTTGCGTCAGATAAACACGCGAGGGATTAAAAAGGTACGTTTATCGTTTAAAAGGTGCACAATGATTTCAGGCTGTTGTCTGGGTGAGCAATGAATGTATTCCGAATTTTGACACCGTGTGTATTGCAACGTAGACGACCAAAGGAGGTTGATAATTCCGATAAAAGGGATTGCTGGTTCGTGAAAAGACGGCGTGGAGATGCTTCCTATATGATACATAGAATGGGTGCTTCTGCATCGTCAAGCATCACCAGTGTAGGTGGAGATTCGGTCCAAGCAGCTAGACTTTCATCCTCTGGTAATCCACCTGATCAGCATGGCATTGCTATCAGGTACTTAAACATTTACCATTAAACCTAGTTATCTCATTAATTTATCGCAATTTATCTTCTAGATCTGTACACGATAGAGATCCCATATGAACGATGCACAACTAGATGTATCTTACTGTTAGCTGTGTTTTAATGCGTGGTTTTGATCCTAAATTAACGATTGTGATGGTAATAAAAATCTAATGTCATCTATTTGCAGGGAAAAGAAGAAGAAAATGACGGGGTTCGCAACGTTACGCAAGAAATTCATTCGAAGACGTCGGTCTTCAAAGGCTTGCGACCATGGTAGGATAATCCGAGATTTGGTCTCAACATGGAGCCATTTAGAAGCAACGGCGCTTTTGGAGGAGTACGAGGCGCTGGCTGCATTAAAGGATCTCCATGTCCAAGCCGAATTAGCTAGACCACCGGCTGCCACATACAAACAGGATTTGTCGATGTTGTACGACTATAAACATTGTTCTGATGTGGATCTCGTCTACCGAGGAGCTTGCTTCCCCGTTCATAGAGCCCTACTGTCAGCCCGTTGCCCTTATTTCAGGGATTTGTTGGCTGGATGTCCGGGTATATAGAGACTCTTGTTCTCTTTGCATTCGTTTACTCGTGGTTTAAAGGATGAGATAGAATATTAAATTTTAATTTGAACAAATTGCAGGATACGGTGCTAGGATATGCTTGGAGTTGAGAACACCGAATCTCGAAGTACAAATGTTTTCAGCATTGTTGCGATATCTCTACACTGGTGATATTTGTCCACACGATGCAGCCTTGGAGGCGAATCTCTTACGACGACTGAGCGAAGAATTCGGCACACCGAATCCGCTGGAACACGATCTCAGATACCTGCTCGACACCGGTGATTACGCGGACGCCGCATTAGTGTTCACGTCAGACAGTGATTACCAGAGACCAGATAGTGGAAGTTCAGAATATGGATTCCGGCCAAAGTTAGAACTGCCATGTCATAAAGCGATACTTTCTGCGAGATCCCCGTTCTTCAGAAACTTAATACAAAGACGGACTAGATCTGGGGAAGATCACACAGAAAGAGCGCTTCATATACCCACTAGAATAGTTTTGGATGAGAGTGTAATACCCAAACGATACGCCAGAGTATTGTTACATGCAGTGTATTTAGATACCGTTGATTTATCGTTAATTATGAGAGGTAATGGTTGCGGGAACAGCGCTGGTAGTCTTGGAGAGGTAATTATGTCATTTGTTATAAATGTATCGTATTCTTTTTTTAAAGCGATTAGAATTTGCAGGCAGGATCAAACATTATTTACGTATATATGAATTTTTATTATTGTTGAAATATCATATTTATTATCTGAACAGATTGCATTCGTGATTTCAGAGCGCATAATTTACGATTTGATTGTATATTATTTTGATCTGTGTGCTTGTTCTTAGGTTCAGGCCCTTACTCATACTGGACGTGTTCGACCAAGCCCTTTAGAAGAAGCAATGGAATTGTACCAAATTGGCCGATTTTTGGAGCTAGATATATTGTCACAGGGTTGTGAAGATCTTATTTTAGAATACCTTACATTGGAGTCACTTCCAACCGTTTTAAAGTGAGATAATTTGGAAATTTATTAAGCGAAATGACATATTAAAAAATTTCTTGTTTTAAAAAATTTTTAATTACTTTTTTACAGGTGGGGTAGTCAACCTCACGGATCGGCATGGGTACACAGACAAGCGTTACATTATTTAAGAGAGGAATTTCAGCCGGTTGCTTCTTCTTCAATTCTTCATCAATTGGATCATGCACATTTGGCGACCGTTTTGCAAAGCCATTTCTTGCAAGCGAGTGAACTTGAAATACTGCAGGCGGTACTCAAGTGGGGGGAACAAGAATTGGTGCGTCGTATGGAAGATCGGGAACCAAATTTGCTTAGTCACACAGTGCACTCTGTAACCAGAAAAGGATTGAAGAAAAGGGATTTAAGCGATATAGAATTGCGAGAGATACTTAGTGAACTTTTGCCCCTTGTTAGAATGGACCATATATTACCCCCAAACAGCGAAGCTCTGGCTCAAGTATGAAACATTAAATTCATTCAGCAATTATAAATATTCATTCCCATACGATACTATGTGAGGTTTTTACGTATTTAGGCTATTAGAAGAGGATTAGTTTCTACTCCACCGAGTCATATGATAGGGGACGAGAGAGAGAATTTGCGGATGAATGCATGGATACGAGGGGGAAAGAAAAATGGATTTTTTGTAAGGCCACGCCTGTTCATGCCTTATTACGAGGAAATAAAGGTACATAAAATTTTTATTTAACAAAAAAGAAAGAAAAAAGAAAATGCAGAAACGAAGGAAAAAAGCAAAAAGGTTTTAAAATGATTTTATAATTAAAATGAGCAAACTGTACAAAAATCTATACATATTCATGTTATGCAAGATCAGTTACGACAAATATCATTTTATATCGATGATGATATTATGTACTAATCTTATCACTTGAATTCATTAAAATACTTTGCAAGTGATAAGGCTAAATTAATTTATGATACTTATTAATTATCACATCGAGTGAATTTAGGTCGTATTAATAACTGAAGTATCCAGTTTGAAGATTTCTGTATTATAATATATTATAGAACTGTTTAATATATAGTAATTTCTTCCAATTAGTTCTTATAATAGTTGCTACAAAAAAATTTTATTCTTACATTAGGCATTAAATCTTTCTGCATATGTTAGCTCATGTTCAACATATTTTTTTACAGTCTTTAGTTGAGGAACAAATGGTCCAAGAAGCAGATTTAGTGAGATTACGAAGGCCACGATATGTGGCTGATATTCCCGATGCCTTGTACATGGTTGATGAGAAACCAAGACCAATGGGTACAGCTGGCGTAGATGTTCTAGCTGCAGCGTTCCCAGGTATTTTGGTTGTTACTTTCTTATCAGATTGCTTTACAGCTTTATTATGTTTTCCCAAGATACGTTAGAATTTGCTTTTTCAAAAAAAAAGGAGACTAATTCGGTATTTATTTTATTTAAGTTCCAGATTCCGCGACTTTGGCAGCTATGATGAAGCGAGAGCAGAAATTGAGGCAGTCCCCCAGTTGTCAAAGGGCTATCAGCTTGCCGCTCTCATCACGACACGAAATTAATAGACAAGTGCGACTACGTGTTGTAAGAGAGTTCAACTTACCTGATACGGTGGCAGATCTGCTGGAAGTGAGTACTTTTTTTCCTTCTCTCATAAAATAATTTTAGGATCAGCTGCTTAAACAACTTTATCATTTGGTATGATATTCGGGGAAACATAAGAGTCTCAACACATTGCATGAATTATACATTTAGCATAAACATTACTGTCTTAACACGTTGAGAAGAATTCAAAACAGGAAATTTTTTTCTTTGAGCTGTCTTACGATTAGTGTTTTCATGTAATTGAAAAATTGATGTCTGTTGTATTGATTCATTATTTCGATTTAACGAACTCGATTAATCGAGAATGAAAAATAGATGCAATTGATGCGTCTCAATGTCATGTTACATAAAATATGTATCATTACTGAGTTTCATAGCAACGTGTCAAAGCAAAACAAAATATGGCTATACTTCGGTGCATCTTTGTTTCGCTTCTTTATTAAACTTCTGGGAAACGTAATTACAATATAAATTAGTAGATTATGAAAATCTCGCGGTAATGAACTCTAAAGCAATTACCGAAGCGTTTACGTAACCTTTTTTATTGTTCACGTTGACTCGTTAGAAAATGAATTTCATTTGAATTACGTTTATGTAATAAAATAGACTTTTTATTTCAAAAAACAATTAACGTGCAGAATAACATGGTGCAGACGATTGAAAGCACAGTATCGGTTTTACAGGATAACACATGCATTAAATGTAAATTTATTTTTTAATCAACTACTTAATTTTTAAGGCTTAAAAATAACACGATTGCTATGAACATATTTGGTGTTTCTATGAGATTAAATTCTCATACACTACAAATCTATCTCTGGTATCTCTAAAATTACATTTTAATCTGTACACACATTTATATAAACATAACATGTACAAAGTTTAACTATTTATGTTTATCAACATTCATTGTCTACTACAAATTTTGTACTTTGTATTTCGTATAAAAATACTATTCGATGCAGCACAATTTATCTAACTGAATAAACCAAAACAATAACAATGGTGCTATTTGCGCAACCATCCCCGTTTATCAAACAAATTCACAATGGTCATTAATTTTTGTCTATATATATCGTTGCCAGCTGTACTCGTGAAAACGTTATTTTCCTTTATGACTGTTATATCTGAGGCGGTTTTTCGAGGCGCCTGAATCACTTGGACCATCATGATACATTGATTGAACTTGACTTGTCCACAGTGACCCACAATTTCGTCGAACTTCTGCTTGGTGAATTTCTCTGTGTCTACTCTCAGCATCTTCAAGGCATTAATGAAACAGGAATAATACCAGTCGATCATTTCGTCCATATTATTATCAAGAATTTCTTTATTCGCACTGGACACGAGGAAAAAGATGAGATCTTTCATGCCATAATCGTATAGACACAACTGGAAATCAACGATCTTCATGTCGAGCAGCTCTCCTTGCTCGTTATGCTGGAACATCATATTGTTAACCCAGAAGTCGTTGTGAATTAACGTCGCCCATGGTTCCTCCGCACTCTTGCGTGTTTTCTCATACATGATACCATATTCTATGGTCTTATTGACCCGGTCCACAAACGGCTTAAGTTCCTCTATGTCTTGTATATCTGACTGAGCTTTCCGGATCATATCGTTCACGCATTTTGCTGTCGTTTCATTCCAAATGTCTAAGAACACGTTTGTCGCTATTTCCTCGTATACCTGAGGCTTCTTCAACTTCAGAGCGATGGTGAAAGCATGCATCTTGGCGAGCCCTTCAATGGCAAACTTCGTGTGTTTCCTATCTAATCCAAAGATCCGATCTTCTGTGTCATAGCCACTACACTTCAAGTTCTCCAAAATAATGGCAGCCTGTGCGTCGAACTCGTCGTGTGCTTTCAAGCCAAGTCTCCCACCGAAGAACTTGGGCACCAGATTGCACGGGTCCTTTCCCTTCATGCCGTTCTCCGTCTGAAGGTCCAAGAACTCCTTCGCCATCGAATTGTAGAAGTATAGCTCCTTTTGGAACGACACTGGGCTGTTGAACAAGTCCAATAGGTAGGCGGAAGTGGGTGGAAGTTTTGCGACCAGGTTCAGAGTCTCTGTTTTATCGGTGGGTCGTGTTAGGGTGACGGTGATGGCCAGCATTACGCTCCCAAAGTTTTCGCCTGGGGCGGTCAGAGGGCTCCATTCTAGGTGCTTTATTTGAAAGTTCTTACCAACACTTTGTGTCAGAAGTGCGTCCAACTTCTGAACTGGCAATGGCTCGATCGATGGAGACATTACTTATCTAAAAACATTTTAAAGTTGTCATTATTAACTCGTAAATATCGATACCTGTTGCTTTTGCTTAAGGGAAATTTTATTATACAAATTATATTAGATGCTGAAACAAACAGTGTCACTTTTTGAAATGTGAATAAAAATACGAGAACGATATTACTTATTTGGCTATCCGATGTTAGCGATATTCTAATTGGACAGATGGGTGATGGATCTTTCGAATAATTTTGCTAATCTCTTTCCTCTTAAGTAAATCTTCGCACCGTGTACATTTATCTTTAACAAACGTGCTTTTGTCTGTAATAAACGGTATTTGTTTTATTTTTCAGATGCAATGTGCAAAGTCTGTAAAATTTGATTTCTAGGAGTCTCCTATTAGTCTTGTCACATCAGCAGCACTCGCGGGATCATAACAATAGAATTATTTATAAGCAGTATCACGACACGTTAGTCATTCCTTTTGCCATCACTCGCGACGTCCTGAGTCCAGAAAATTGTTTCATTTTCGTCGATTTTTCAACGATGTTTTGTTTTATAACTTACTGTGCTCTCGTGACTTTTCACCACCGTGACTGTTTATCCGGGCAAATATACGTACTTTAACGTTTACGCAAAGTTTAATTGCAGATGTAATATTTCGTGTCAGGGATACGGATATAAAATGGGGTTTCGCAGATGACCAAAGGCACTCGTGTAGAAGTGATAACGCTTATCAGCCGATATTCATACTCTTTCTGTGTAACATTTACAATTCGCTGATTACGTGTGCACTATCGGCACATCGTATTATGGCGTAATTATTTATCCGTCGTTTAAACGCTAAATAATAGAGCAAGAACTGGTTTCTTTTCCCCCTTCGTGTGAGAAAATCAATGTCGGAATGAAACATTGGGAGTAGAAAATCTAGGTAATTAAACGATTCGATTACTGTTCCAGGTATCGACGAACCACGTATCTGTTCATTGTCTCGACGCGCATGTTAAATGTAAATCAGGTTTATAGTTCGAGTTATGCGACCGTGATAGATAAACGTGCGCGCTTATATGCAGCACTGCGTGCTGGTAATTTTTAAAAAACTTGCATCATCGAATTATCATGCACGTGCATTCATTGGGCATACGCGTGTCTTCTATACGCATATAAAGTGAACAACAATGGCGGACGAGCGGAAGCGTCTAGCGTCCTCGTTTGACACCTTATCGGCTGAGGACCCGAAATATTACGCCAAATTCTTTATATCCTCTGTTATTCACGAATCGAGTAAATATACCGCAATGATATAATTAATAAATGTACTATAACTTTTGTAGTTTTGTGCACACTGTGTATAGGAAACTCTTGAGAGTCATTCGATGCAAGAATATTAATTCAACTTAATACAATTTAATATAAAAATATGCTTGTATATTTCGCAATTGATATGTAATTTAACAATATGAAAATGCGATTGCACGTAAAATATTAATTTAATATAATATAGTCAAATTTCGCGAATACGTGTCATTCCCTTTATTATTTCTACTTGTGAATTTTCCGTGAATGTAATTATTCTTTTGTGAATCACAAATTAGTCATGAAATACTTAGTCACTAAAATACTTTAGAGTATGTTTATATACGTTTCGTTTGCTTTGTTAAGTGTAAATAACCAGCTCAGTGGCCTCGTTGATAAGGTGTCAACATTAGGACCCCCAATTCAGACAAAATGGCCGGGTTTCAGACCTCCCGTATTTGAATTTACCGAGAATATATGGCTGCTTTTGGCAAAATTTATAATAGCTCTCATCGAGATTGGAAAACAATCATGTCTATCTATGTTGCTCGTGTCACCTTGGTTATTCTTATCTATGTTTTACGAAGGTACACATTCGGTTGTTCTAACATTAAGAATGGGCAAACAATTTTTCGACAATTGCTAATTCCATCTAGTCATCTGCTGAGATATTTGCACGTCTACACACGTCGTCTTTTCTTTCATCCGTGCTTATTTGTCCCACCAATTCTGCAGACAATTCACGCTTGCTTAAGGTCCACGTTTCATTCGTGGTTTATTCAACTGGTGTACAGTTCATTCTTTTATTATCTTTCCCCAGTGATTACTTTAGAATATTACGCATTTTCTGTTTATTTATCTTGTATACCGAATAAGTCATAGGAATAATTTATATGCACGTACTCGACACGGCTAAATGATCGGTTTCGATTCTTCGAACGGTTTTAAAAATATTTTCGAAAATGTAGAATTTTAGGACGAAGATAAATAGCGCCGAGGAAATATGGCGTCTATCGTGTTCGAATGATCTGGGACATAGATTACACGAAGATACACAATTCGTGTTCGCGATTGTGTTCGAGTTGTTCATCATAAGTCATTGCGACTCGTGACGCGAAACGAGTCATCGATTTAACGATCGAGAAATGTCACGAATCTCGTCGACTTGAAAATGTCGGAAGCCGCGGCCATTTTGAAATTTCTTAAGCCCGCCGGAGAACGGCGGAAATTGATTTCCAAACTCGTCGCACTACAATGCTCGTTGGAACTTAATCACGCTTCAGAAGTTATTACCAAGTCCAATATTTGCGTATAATTCGGAATAAGCAAACAAATCTGACGTTATCGCGAATGCGTTAAGCTGTTAATTAAACAGCTCGTTGGAGCAGGTGCGAGTGTGTTTGGAAATAGTTTTCAGGAGCTACTGTTCCAAAGGATATTTATATTCGAATAATTTTACGAACCACTTGACGCTTTAATAGCTTTAATAGCTGGGTATTAATTTGTAAGCACGTTTGCACTATGCATCTGTCATTTTAAGATGCTTATCTCCCGTTTCATAATTTATCGCCCCTCGTTTGTTTTAGTTCTCTGTTTCCTTTTCATTTTCCACGAGTTTTGCGACTTTTAATCTCGCGCTATCGGTATACAATTTTTTATAATTTATCTCCCCTCGTTTCCCTTGGTAATTTATTTCCTCGATGACATTTGATTTTCCGCGTTATTATTGAAAGTAACATTCTTATAATGCTCCTCGTGTAACGTGAATTGCACCGTATCATCGATTAATATCGTATTTGCACGGGTGATTTACTTTTCGCTTGTATTTGGCTCGCATAACTTCCTTATTAGATTCAATTTCGACAATGACTTCCGTATAGCGTGCCATTGTGTGCGCGGTCCGCTGATATTGATGCAAATGCATAGTTTTCGAGAAAATTGGTAATAGAGTGGAACATAAAGAGAAACTTGTTCGGTCTCCAGCAAGATCTTTACCCGCAAATATTTTTTTCTCTTTAAGAAAAAGTATAACTAATTCGATTTTATTTATATATTACATATACAAACAAAGTAATAACGATTATTCGTTACACGTTATCGAGTAATTATTATTAATTGGTGGAACACGATTATTGAACGATGACGTAGAATTACCGATAAGATAATTGAAATTTCGAAGAAAAATACTAATTTTGAAAGTTATTGCGAATTAATGAAACGTTAAGAGGTATAGTAATCGAGAAGCTATGGGAGAAGATAAACAACCTTGTGGAGTAAACATAAATATTTCCCCACTACGTCATGCGATATCGAGCCGTAAATATAAATTAATTTTACCTGATAAAACATATCAAACATTTGTAGTCGATGTGAAAGTAAATACATAAAATTTATTGCAGTTTAAATCGTAACGATAACGAAACGATACCGGGTGATAATTGCAATAGTTCACGGAGATCTTCATGCTTTAAAATCACAAATTGACGAATATTATTAAACAAATAGAGCCGAAATATTCGGAAATATTTATATTTCATTTCAATTCAAATAATGACAATAAAACCACGATAAGCCTCTCATTATTAAACATACTCACACAAACCCCCATATATATTACACTCTTTAAAACCATAATTATCAATCAATTACATCAAATATATAAAAGAACTACCCACAGTTACTTCCAATTTAAAAAATAATAGTAATAAATTCTACAAAACAATAAACTCTATATCATTGCACGTACTTTAAATTCACAAACTGACCAAATTTATCAAATAACTACATCCAATATATAAAAGAAATACTTATAGTTATTTCCAATTTAAAAAATAATAGTAATAAATTCTACAAAACAATAAACTCTATATCATTGCACGTACTTTAAATTCACAAACTGACCAAATTTATCAAATAACTACATCCAATATATAAAAGAAATACTTATAGTTATTTCCAATTTAAAAAATAATAGTAATAAATTCTACAAAACAATAAACTCTATATCATTGCACGTAGTTTAAATTGACAAACTGATCAAATTTATCAAACTCTATTCAACGCACGAAAAGATAACAATTAAATTCAACTTAAATAACATCGATAATAAAACCGCAACGAACCTCCCGTCGAATGCATATGCTCACGCTTTCAAGTCACAAACATCCCCAGTATCTATTAGGCCTTTCGAAATACCGACATCCGTCCCTCAAACTCGTCAATTAATTCGAACGCGAGAACCATTCGAAACCAGCAGAGTGAACACGGTGAATCACTTACCATATCGTTAACACGAGTATACGAGAAGTACCAAAGCATCCTCACCTGCCTTTACGCGTCTTTACGCGAGAATTAACTGAAAGGCGGAAGCGAGGTACGTGAATGCCCTCTAGCGACGATGGCCGCCTCCTGCACGGGTACCAATGCACAGCCAGCTTCCGTTCCACACGAGCGGTCGAGGCGCGTTGCAATTTTTGTCCGCGAAAATTGCACGCGATAAAACGGTCGAGCGGTGTTTTCCCAATGCGAAACTGGCCGCGACAAATAATTTACGACGGCCACGCGATGTTTATCTCGAATGACTTCCGCGACGCGTCCCGAGCAGCGTTCTATCACGCGAGTGGGATAGGCCGGCGGTGCCCGAATAAATTACACTTGCAAACCTCCGGACGACTCATCCGTCACGCGGACGTCTTCATTGTGCCGCTGAAAAATTGCGAGGCGTCGCGAGGCGTCCGTTTTCGTTGCATAACGCGATGATGCGCCACCGGGCGGACCGTGTAATTACGACCGCGTTCAGAGATCGATTATCACCGGGCCCGCGATGGCCCCTTTGAACTCGAAAAGTGGAAATCTTGCTGGCAATTTTAGCTCCTCCAGTTTTTATATTACTCCGTTATCTAGGTATATCCGAATATCTTTTCTTTTTGTTTCTGTTCTTTTCTTTTTCTTTTTCGTTTCTTTTCGGTTTTCCGTTTCCTTTTGTTTTTGTCTTTCTTTTTGTTTTCTCTTTTCCCTTTTCTCTTTCATCTGCTTTCATCTTCTATCTTTCTTTTGTTCTTGTTTTTGCTTTTCTTTTCCTTTTCCTTTTTCGTTTCCTTTCGTTTTTCCGTTTCCTTTTGTTTCTGTTTTCCCTTTTCCCTTTCCTTTTTCATTTGCTTTCATCTTCTATCTTTCTTTTGTTCTTGTTTTTGCTTTTCTTTTCCTTTTCCTTTTCCTTTCGTTTTTCCGTTTCCTTTTGTTTTTGTTTTCCCTTTTCCCTTTCATTTTTCTTCTGCTTTCATCTTCTATCTGTCTTTTGTTCTTGTTTTTGCTTTTCTTTTCCTTTTCCGTTTCCTTTCGTTTTTCGGTTTCCATTTGTTTTTGTTTTCTCTTTTCCCTTTCCTTTTTCATCTGCTTTCATCTTCTATCTTCCTTTTGTTCTTGTTTTTGCTTTTCTTTTCCTTTTCCTTTTCCTTTTTTCGTTTCCTTTCGTTTTTCCATTTCCTTTTGTTTTTGTTTTTGTTTTCCCTTTACTTTTTCATCTTCCATCTTTTTTTTGTTTTTGTTCTTGCTCTTCTTTTCCTTTCGTTTTACAGTTTCCTTTTGTTCTTCTTTTTCCTTTTCCCATTTCATCTGCTTTCATTTTCCAGCTTCCTTTTGTTTTTGCTTTTGCTCCTCTTTTCTTGTTCTAGTTACATCGACACATCGTTAAAGTAAGTGAATCGGCGAATTTTTCCTTTTCCCAAGATTAGAAGGAAGATGCAAATTTTGTTCTTTTCCTGTTGATTTATGATCGTACTAATCTATGGTCATTAGTGGTCATTGAAAGTGTACACGCGTGTTTAAGGTATGTATACTTCGAGAATGAGATACAGAGACAGGAGAAAATGAGGTATAGAATTATATATATAGCTTTTAAAAATTGGACAATTATTTTTCCTTATTACCGTGAAAGCCATTACGTTAAAAGATGTCTGTACATTTCCAC